TCACTGAACAAAACGAAATGAAATTGAATTCTGGTCATCGAAAACACTTCAAGGCGTGATCATTTCCTCGGAGAATAGAGCTCTATTTTTTTATCCAAGCTTTTTCTGCTGCTCGTCTCTCCCTGAGAGGAGCAAATGTTTGCGATGATTTGAAAGAACGAAGCCAAGGAATGATTGCATGCGCATTTGCTTTAAGCTGTTGACGAGTTTGAAAATTCGTCAAAAATGGTGGATTTTAAACGTATTAAGGAGTAGTGTTCCTGTCCACGTACCCACCGTTTGATCATCTCGCCTGGTGAAACCAGTGTCTATTTCAAACTAGGAATTCATCTAACGAAACCGATTCGGTTTAGGTTGAGAATCCGTAAGATTCCGTGACCTTGCGTTTCAAAGCTGCGTAGGAGAAGTTGACCAGACTTGGACCTGTTTGTATCTCTCAATCATACCCCCATCTATTTACGGGACTCCCGCCAACTTTCTGCTCGGCCATGCGGTTCATTAGCCTGTAAGCTTAACTTTGTTGTTACGATACATTCATAGTTTAGTTTTTGTTCCCCTTGCTATCAACTTCAGATAAGTACCTACAGTTGAGAAGTCATTTGCAACGTACTGATTTGATCGAAGCTATTCTTTCCGACTTTGTTCAACAACATCAACCGTCAACACCAACCGTCCTTAGAGGCCTCACTGGGTCTTCGCTAAGTCTCCGTGTTCTCCCGGTATCGTCAAATCCAGTGGACACAAAACATACAACGAACTTCGATCTTGTCAATTCTGTGTTACGTTTGGGGCAGACAGAAGAAAGCAGTGGCTTTTGGCCAACTTATCTGAGCATTCCCCATGGAGGTGAACAGGAGTCGATCGGTTTGTCCAGTATGGTTGTGTCCCAGTGGACTTGTCTTCCAGAACTGATAGGTGAGTGGTTCGTGCACTTCATCAGTCCTTAAGAACATGTATTGTTGAATGTTTCACAGCGATTGCCTAGTTGATTTTTCATCCTTGAATGTTCCGACGCAATCGGTTCCAAGCAACTCTTACCCTTATACAACTGGGT